ACCAGGAACATGATGATGGTGTTGTTTATTATGCATCGCTAGAAATATCGTGATGCTGCTGCTAATCAGACATCAACAAGAATGTTATTATAAAGTTGTTGATTACGTACTATCAAGAACATCGTGACGTTTTGTTCGTCTAGCATCACTAGGGACGTCATGATGGTGCAAGTAAACGTCAATAAAACGTAATATGTTTTAATATGGACCTATTTGAGCCTCTTATTAAACTTAACATTGGAAACTATCATTCAGAAACTAGTAGCCGTTTTAATCATCGCAATATTCTATAAAAGATAAAAAAAGCACCATAAGTACTTTTGAGCAAAAATTTATTATTAAAGCTACAATACAACTTTAGTGCTCAATCGGTTCATCTCTTGTTCAGAAATAATTTGAAAATGAGTTCTTCTGATTGTGTAAAGATTTTGTTGAAAGATCAATTTATTTTGTAATATGATTTACCTGTAGAAAATTTGCTTTCTATGCTCAATTAATCAATATATGTTGCAAATGCAGCTAAAAAGTAAAATGGTTACATGAAATATAAACGTTTAAGGTTTGTTTGTTTTAAGTTATACCCACCACGAGTATCGAAACCCGGTTTCTAGCGTTGTAAGTCCGCACACATACCGCTGTGCAACTGGGGGCAACGTTTAAGGTGCAGTGACGAGGAGGTTACTGTTAAAATTAAAGGGATCCGAAAGAGAGGTTTGTTATAAAACGTCAGAATACAATGAAATGAAACTACAAATAAAAGTTATTGTAAAAATAAAATGGTTTGTTATTCTCGTTGTAACTATTGTCTTAGATAACCCTTAAGTGTTTGACTGATTTATATATATATATATATATGATTGATCGGACCCCAACCAATGAAAGTCATAAGAGATACTGGAAGAGCATCTATTGATGTTTCTACTAAATGCGCTGTGTCCTAGATATATGTAATGAACATGGTGAAACCATTCTTAAGATAAAAAGAAATGTAGGTAACAATGCAGTAACCCTGAGAAAAACTAGCCTTGATTTGGGAAGACTTTTCATCAACAACAAAACAATATTTTGGGGATTTAAATGAATTTTTCGAAACAAGAGGTCAAACCCGAAACTTTTACAAATTTTTATATGAAAAGTTTGTTTACCGGAGTTTCTCTCACTTAAAGTTAACATCAGAGTATGGCAGTTTCTATACGCTCGACTCCTGATTTTAGGATTCACTTGTTTTGCAAATCAAACACGTGCTTGATTATTTTTCATTAACTTTATCAAGTTTTAGTTTTAATCTTTGTAACACATAAAATATCTATTCTGAAAACCACTTTGGAAAATAAGTTAACCTTCTTCATATAAATTTAAATACATTTCCAAGAGATTTAACATTTTCCAATTAAAATATCAAATCTATGCAATTAAAAGAACAATGTGCCTCTGTCAGTCCGTGCATGTATGCGTGCTAGTTCACATGGAAATCCAATATTCCTGTTGACTAATTGTACAGTGGTACTTTCACGTTTATACGAGAGCAAAAGTGAACGACGTTTAGCGTGCATTGTTCTATAGGAATGCAAAGCTACGATGTTTATAACATTAAATTTAAAAGCAATTATTTCAGTAACATAAACAAACAAGCAAGGAAACACATTGAGTTAATTTTTTTTTCCTTTCCGTGGCTTATAAGTAACGCAGTACCATTACACTTTAATACAAATTCCAACAGGCCTAAAGTTCAAATGCCTTTCGTATTTGAAGCAAGAGTTTACCCGCTATATAATCTACAACAATTAACCTTAATAGTCGCTGCCACAACTTCATTCAGTTTTGATGCTCTACAGCTAACACATTGCACGAAAAAAAATAATAAGAGGTTTCAGATGATATAAAAATGCGACTTGGGTATATATATATGCACACAAGAAATGTACAAAAAAAAACATGACGAGAGTTGATTTTTACATTTCTTGATATCATAAATTTAAAAATTCACTGTTTTATAACAATTTTATAATGTCATTTTATCAAGAGTTCGATCAAGAAAAAAATCTCAAGATCTTAGCCAAAAATGGCGATTATCCGAAAATACAAGGTTTTTATAAAACATAATGTTGTGAACAGAGATATATTTCGTCTATAGTCATCCCACGTTTTTTTACATCTCTTTACTTTAAACCTAAATACAACAACTACGTATTCTGCTTAGCAAATTTTTGTTTCATTCGTGTCCAACAACATAATACAACAAAGGCATCATCTAAAGGATTTGTCTACTTAAAACATATACCCTTATCATATATATAGCATTCAACCTGATAAAACTGTATATGTGGAAAAACTTTTGGGCTTTGGCTCATATGGCACAGCACACAGTGCTTTATGCGGGAAGTCGAAAATTCAATCCCGTCTATATCATTTTTTCTCCTGAACAATGTTCCTGTAGTCAAGTAATTTTAGTACATACATAACATGCGTAGCACAAGTTTATGCCCAAATTGAACAATATGTAATTGCCCCAATTTATAAAGCTAACTGAAATTTTATATGTAGTTTTCTACGTTCAAGAAATGATTTGGGAAAACAACATAGGTTGTTTCAATCGGAATTGTAGAAATTAAAGAAATTGTTGTCAATAATTTTATTGGAGCTTCCAAAAAAATTGACCTTAAAACTAAACCATACTTAGATTTCTTTTCTACCTAAATAACACAAACCTCTGGGTCAATTTTCATTTCTACTTCAGTTAAAACGATGATCGTACAGCCAGCTATTTTATTTAAATTACCTAACCATTTAGTTTGATAAGATTATAAATATTCAAATAATAATAAACGATTTTGGGGTTAAAGAAAATAAATCTATTTTACGTAAACTTCTATATTTAAATCATTATGGAATAACCAACTTAGTTCTAACTTTATTTCAATACGGTGCTCACAAAAAATTCGCGTTTTTTGTAAGCCTTGTGGTTAGGGCGCTCGGCTTGTAATCCGCGAATCGTGGGTTCGAATCCCATCACCGAATAGACTTCACTTTCAACCAAAGGGGGTGTTATAAGAGTAACAGTCAACACCATTATTCGATTAGAGCAGCCCAAACATTAGTGGTGGGTGGCGTTAGCTAGCCACCATCCCTCCGACTTATCACTTTTAAATTCGTGTAGCTTTAAGCGAAATTCAACAACAGAAAAGAACAGTTATTCCATTACGATAGATTACGGAAACTGTAAAAAATTGTTAACGATTTTTGGTAAAGGTTAAAAATCTTTTAATAACCATTTTCGTTAGAAATCAATATTATAAATTAATGGTAGGTTCCCCGATTGGGGCAAATTACATCACCTGTCTTACCAGTTTTTAATGTTTATATTTATGAAAAATATGTTCACGAAAATAAATCTAATTTTGATATAGTTGCTTTAATATACAGTACGACAATCTAGTCACGTACCCAGTACGATTAATACGTCAACGATACTCTCGACTAGCCCAATAATGACAAGTAACGAGTAATCTATAGAACTGTTTATTAACGCAAAGACGAATAACACAAGACAGTGCATAAATACGAAACGGGCGACATTCACACACGAAGCAGGAAATCCAATCAGATACCGGTAAATTAAATTGTACATGGTAATACCTACTGAAGTGTTAGTAATGAGGACTACTAACCCATAACTCCTCTCTTAAGTTGGCAGTTAAGTATTTATATACCGCAGTTCAGCATGCGTCGATGCCTCACGTGTACAGTTATTAACATAACACTATGTCACAAGTCAATCAACGATAAATACTTTGTACAACCAATATAACGTGACTGTTTAGTTACATCATACTCTGTAGTTTAAGCTTTGGCAAGGTGATTGCACAAAATGTAAGTAGGAAACCTGTAGGAACGTTTAATTATAACCTAGCTAAATTTTTAGCCTGGATATCGAGACTTTATGCATTACAGGGAGAATGTGTTATAAAAAATACAGAACATTTTACCAAGCTATTAGGTACGTTCAATCCTTGTAGTTTTTTAGTTAATTTTGATGTTGTTTCATTATTTACACAAGTACCAATCAATGAATCTATTGATTATGATCTTTCTTGTTTTATACGAAATGAAAATCCAAGAACACAA